GAACAACCATCGATCACTGAAGCCCAGTACACTTTTAATTCAGATAGTCTTTAACATCATTTTTAGCTTTATAATATTTACAACTTTATAGTTTGCACATTCAATTAATCAAACACTTATTATTCCAGTTCCTCTGTATCCTTACATCCAGGTGAATTGTGGTAAGGGAGCCTGGGAACCCTTTATTATCATTTGAGACTCAGCTTCTCTAGCACGCTTGGTAATTTTTTGTTCACAAAGAACAAGGATTAAACGAACTCTACTTGTACAATTAGCATGGACACAGAACAATAGAAATTAAATAACACGACTCAAGAGAAACGAGTATGGGGTAAAGAGCAGCATGTTTAAAAGCTCAAGGTGGTGTACCAGAACCTACGGCAAGCACTACCTTTGTAGGCAAAGATCTCAAAATTAACATTGGGCTATATAACACCAATTAATGATGTCTTAATCACACATTAAAAAATGCTTCTGGGTAATAGTGAGGTCTAATATATAGGTTTAGTACACAATAAATAGAATTAAATAGTGATTAATATTATTAACATAAAATAATTCCTTTTAAAATCCTCGTTAAATATTTTATAATATCCAACATATTAATGATATTTTATTGATTTCATCCTATCAAAAAAATATTGGGACCCAATGATTCTAACCTAAAACCACTAATAGCTTAATTCATAAAGCCTTAGAGATGTGTCACCCATAAAGAAAAAGTGGGATAATCTCATATAAGGCCCACCCAATTAAAGAAACATAATTTCTCTATGCGTCTAATAGATTTTGATATTCCTCTACTAGCCTAAAGGCCTTAATTGCAATTATTTTCCTCATTGAAATGACCCAATTACTTTTAATAAATGAAAAAGCCTCAAATGTAAATCTACATGGACTCATGTAAACAAATAGACTTTTATTGTAAATAATGGTACTTTTGTTGTTAATTTCAATACTTATGTTGTTAATTTTCTTTGATTAACTTGAAAATTTTCTCCTCCTCAAGTATATATAAGTGTAAACCCACATGAACTCTTGTGAAAAAAAATGAAATTTTTGTTGTAAATAATTAGACTTTTTTTATTCTATTATGAACCTTCTGCTATTAATTTTCTTCGTTGACTTGTAAATTTTCTCAAATGTAAACGAACATGGATTGTTGTAAATAAATAAACTTCTTACTATAAATAATTTAACTTTTCTTGTTATTTACGGACCTTCTATTGTTAATTTTATTTAATTGGTTAACAAATTTTTTCATGTGCAAGTGTAAATTTACATGGACTCTTGTGAATAAACAAATTTCTTGTTGTAATTAAGTGAACCTTTTTTTTTAATTTATAGTCCTTTGTTATTAATTTCTTTTGAGCACAATTATTCTCACTCATTAAGAGTAGTTCAGTCTTTTCACCTTCAAAAATAATTGCACTTAAGGTCATTGGACCTACAGAGAAATATTAGAATCTATTGTGCCTGCAAAGAAATTATGTTCCTTGGGGTTTCATATGAAATTCTCCCTAAAAAATTCCCATTATCCTTTTTATTTTTTTGCTTTGAATAATGCCATTACCGAGCAGATCCACTGATATTGGTTTCTTATAGCATCTGACCTAGCTACAAATTCTAAACGAATATCTAACTAAAACTTTTCTAATTTGATATCTTATATGTTTAGCATATTGCCAATAAAATTATGAATGAAGAACTAGACCTAGAAACTTGAAAACATATATATACTCTGTAGTGCCTATCGCCTGAAAAGGAAGAACATCTTTTGAGATTTATTAATATGCCTACCAATGACACTTCTTATGCGGCAATATTTGATGTAGCATAACACTGCAATGTGAATTTATCCATTCGATTGGTATTTTTGATGTTATGTGATTTGAGCTACTTATATCGTAGTGTTTCAACGTGTGCATCTTAATATCCTCATGATACATGTTAGATACCCAATACTATAATTCGTCAACCATGGGAGACTTTGTCAATTGATTAACAGTGATCTGAATATCACAAGGGGTTTATACATAAAAATTAAAAGTTCAGGAAGTTGATTAGAAAAATTAACTCCTCCTGATTGAAAAATTATAGTTTAGAAAAATTATTTATAGCTTTTAAGAATGATCACATGGCCTCCTTGAACCTTGGTGGGATGCCATTGTTTCTTTTCCTTTTTGAACAGCGTCGGATCGAGGCCATGTGATCATACAAGAAGATCTTTTCGTATCTAAAAAATAGTAATTAATCTCAGCGAGTGATCTCAGAATCTCATCAATTGATTACTACACTAACTGAAGCCACATTACGAACTTATCAATCTCGGTGACTCTTTTTCCATAAAGCAACGTGATAGCTGCGACTCTTTTTAAATTGTTATCGGAATATATAATGATTAGAGTAAAATACATTAACCACCTTTCTATTATGCTTTAGTTATACAAACCACCCCTCTATTTTGAAAATTTATATAAACTCCCTTAAAATTAAAATGTATGTTACATAAACCTCTCTTATATATTTGAGATTTTACTTTCATTCATCCAGCCATTAGTTACTTGTTAAGTTTAACTTTTAAACTTTTAATTTGACCAGAATTTCTCTTTAACATAAGAATTATCCAAAAATATAGATTTTCCAAAAAATAATTTTTTGTATTCAACTAAAAAATATATAATAAATACATTTTGAAATATTTCTCATATTATAAAATTTAACTTTTTATCAAGTTTATTGAAACTTATTTATTTATGTTTTTTAAAATTGCTAAAAACATATTTAAAACACATATTTTTGTTCATCACATAACATAAAATGATATAAGTTTGAGAGTTTATATAAATAATTCAAATTTAAAATTTAAAATTTGTAAACATGTTTTTTAAAATGAAATTTTGTAACTATCAAACTAATATAATTTAGGATTTCACAGGTTAAGGGGTAAATTAGTAAATAAAATTTGCTTTACTATAAATTTTAATTTAAAAATAAGTTTTTATAATCTTTTTAAAATATTACTAACAGAGTTAATGTATTAGACCAAATTATATGTTTTCAAAATAGAGGAAAGGTATGTGTAATTAAGGTAAAATAGAAGGGTGATGGGTGTATTTCACTGCAATAATTAACATGAAATATTAGGCTTGATATTTAAAATGTATTTAATCTTTTAATAATTAAAAATTATGATAAGATATATAAAATTGGACCACCTTTAAATAAAATATTATAAATGTCATCCTTATTGGTGCAAGTTGAGATTCCTACGTGGTGCACCACGACCTTGTTGCCTTGATATCTAGAAAGCTTAGCGCATCAGCCATAATTGGTTTTTTATTTTTTTAATTTGGGTCCATCCTGTTCAAATCTCCAACGGGACAAGGCAATTTCTAAGACAGGACACTAGATAAAAATGATGGCCCGTTCTTTTTTCGGGACTAGAAACGGAAGGGGATTGTCTGGCAATCCTATCCTTTTTCATCAATACCCCTTTATAAGATATAAAAATTCTCTTTAAATTACATTCTACAAGGTATGTGCAAAAAATCTTCTTGGTTTTAATTTATATCTATTTACTTTTTTCTTTTATCAAATTTCTATTGGGTAATTAGTAAATAACTGTTGGAATATTTGAAATGATTAGGTGCTAATCACTTGATAGTTAGCAACCCTAATGTGTATATAAAGGGGCACAACTTTGGATTAGAAATGAGGGATGTTAACATGGTCCTCACCTCATGGTTAGTCCCCATAGTTTGGGGTTTGTTCATCACCCAAGTTAAGGGTTGATTATATTTATAATCCATCAAGTGAAGAAAATGTTGTGTTGTTTTGTAATCATTGTTGTTGTGTAATGAAAGAGTTTCATCCATATCCCCTCTTAGAGTTTCCATTAGCTAGTATTGACCCAAATGTAAGACACTTTGTAAAAAGTAAATAACATTAAATTCTTCTTTTTCACCAATGTCCTTAAGAAAGAAATTAAAGATAATCAAGATAGGAGAAATTTTAATTAGATAAGCCCAAGGTATCACATCATCCATGGCCCATTCAATAAAATTGTACAAATACAATCAAATAAAAGCTCATGTGTCATTATTTTTAGCGATTTTTTTTATAATAGAATGTTTTTTTAATTTCTTACATTTTTTCTCTTACTATCATTAATATCAAAATCAATTTACATTTAGTACCATCTAAGTGTCATGTTTCTATTGGATGGACCATGGATGACATGGCTTATTGGATCCATCTAAGAATTTCCCATTAAGATATATTGATTTTAATTAAAGGGTAATCTTAAAAAATAATGATAATTTTTTGCCTTCTTAATGAGACAACTAATGATGTCCTATAAGAAATTTTTAAATAGATCCAATACACCACATTATCTATAGTTCATTCAGTAAAAACATAACATTCATATGGTATTAAATATAAATTAATTATAATATTAATGATAGTAGAGAAAGAAAATGTAAGAAATTAAATAGGTATTATATGATAAAAAAAGTCAGTAAAAATAATAACACATAAAATTTCATTTGATTGAAGTGGTGTAATTTTATTGGATGGAATATGGATAACATGATGTACTAGGTCTATATTCTCCTATCACTTCTCATAATTCTTGTGAAATAATTAAAAGTGTCACATATTTTTTCCTAGGAGGAAGGAATCTTTTAGAATATCTAATATAAAAAAAAGGATGGAAGGGATCGATAATTAACTTGAAATAAAATTAGAGCACATTTAATTAAGATATTAATAATGTCAACATTATTGGTGTAAATCGAGATTCCCACGTGGTGCACCTTGATCTCTAGAAAGCTTAACACAACAGCATTTTCCTCCAAAGTCCTGTATGTCCTCAATCACCGCACTCAATTATTGGAGTATATTACACCCTGTCATACATGATTATACTTAATTTAAAATTCTAGATCTAATATCGTGCACTTGGTTGTCATTTCATAACGACACTATAGAAAGATTGCCAGTAGCATTTAGACCCCTCTCTTCATCATTTCTTTTAAGTGTTCTCACACTATACTTTCCCAACCACACTAACACTATAACCATGGCGGCAGAAAACTCTGAACCCTCCAATGCTCCCAAGTATCTCCAGAAAGTCGAATTAACCCAAGAAAACAAGGACCTCATTGCCACCTTACCTTGCGATGCGTTTTGCGAACCTTCCTATACCATCCATCAATATGATGGTTTCTGGTACGCCACAAAAAACTTGCAAGGAATCCTCAATAGCAAAAAACATTTCAAAGCTCATGACTCTGACATTCTTCTTGTCACCTTACCAAAATCTGGCACCACTTGGCTCAAAGCCCTAGCCTGTGCAATTCTTAATCGCAAGATCCATTATCCAACAAATTCAGATCTTGATGAAAACCAGTCTCACCCTCACCCTCTCGTCACTGCTAACCCTCATGATATTGTACCATTTTTAGAGATCGATCTCTACATCCATAAAAACATCCCCGATCTAAGCTCGTTCCCGTCACCAAGGCTCTTAGCAAGCCATATGCCATACATTTCGTTGCCAGAATCAGTGAAGCTGTCAAAGTGTAAGATTGTGTACTTGTGTAGAAACCCTAAGGATATGTTCACATCATTGTGGCACTTCATTGAAAAGTTCGCACCACAAGTGGAAGAGCCCAGGTCGTTTGAGGAATCATTTGAGAGCTTCTGCGAAGGAAGGAATCCCTATGGCCCATTTTGGGATCACATCTTGGGATACTACAAGCAGAGTCTGGAGAGGCCAAATAAGGTAATGTTTTTGACGTATGAGGATTTGAAGAGTGAGCCAGCAAGGGTCTTGAAGGACTTAGCTGAATTTATGGGGCATGGATTTACTGAGGAGGAAGAGAATGGTAATGTTATTAATGATATCATGAAGCTTTGCAGTTTTGAGAATTTGAGCAGCATGAAAGTGAACAAGACTGGCAAATTGTTGAGTGGGGTAGATAATAATGTTTTCTTTAGACGTGGAGATGTTGGGGATGGGGAGAATTTTCTCACCTCTGACATGATTGAAAAGCTCAATGTTATTATTCAAGAGAAGCTGGGAAAACATGGCGTGAACTTTCATATCCACAACTCTTGATTGGAAAGCTTAATAATGTTATTTTCGTCATGCAGATGTCGTTGGAAATCGCTTCCCACTCTTGCCTCTGATTAGCCACATCCTAGAGGCATCAGATGCGTTAAAATCAGAGGGGGAGAGAGGCAGATCACATCTCGTTTCGTCTTCATCGGAAAATACATTGCCATTAGGAACCACCGATTGGAACCTTTCGAAAATAACAGATATGGGGTCGAGTTTTTTCTTCTTTTTTCCTTGGGGAACGCATCTCTTTTCAGAACGGCCATGTGAAGGTTGATGATGTACAGTTTGTTACTTCACCAAACTGCCATCTGAGTTTTCGAATGGATTCAAGTTGGCCCATTTGAATAAATACAAAATAAATCAAAAGGTGGAGGCTTCCGCATATATATGTCAATATATTTTTATATAATGTGCATCAATATATTATATGGCATATTATATTGTAATATGTGTTTAAATAACTGGCATTATTATTGTCAACAATTAAAGGGTTTAAGTGTATTTTTTTTTTTCTATACTTTTCTTGAAAGAGTGCTAGTGTATGGAGGTAGTGTTTGGTGTGGTTTCGTATATATATGTCAATATATTATACAATGCTGCATCAATATATTATATGGTACATTGTAATATGTGTTTAAAAAAATTGAGTTATTATTATCAGTAATTAAATTCAAATAATTATATATATGTGCCAATTAACTCAAGTTCCGTTCTCATCTTATGAATGGGAGTAATTTCAAGGATCAGAAAGAAAAGTTTTTTTTAGATTTTTTGGGCTATATGGATCTTGACCTTGCATGAAGGATTGAAGAGCCTACTTATTGTTGCAAGTCCATCATGTGAATGGAGGTACTTTTAGAAGTGAGATTGCTCAATAGCATGAGTCTTGTTAATAGTATAAGGAAGTATAAGGCATACAAATTTTCAAATCCCACAATAAAGTATATATATTTGAGACAAGAAAATGCATGGTTATTTTGAGGACATTTAGTTTCAGAGGAGAAATAATGTAATTCCATAAGACAACTATCTCTTGGGAACAAACTCAACACCCTCAACAACCAACGTTCAGTGTATGAGTCCAATAAAAGAAAGCAGAAATGCTATTCTAGATAACAAAACAAATAGTTCTTTTAGGAACATGCACGATGGGGGGAAAAAAAAGGACTCAATAGGTTTCCCAATAAAGATATCACAATTTTCATAGAGTAACTATCTCATTTGGTTTTGAGATAAATGTTGAAATTTTGTGTATCATAAGTTTTAATGGGAGTAAGTTTTAATTCCTAATTATGTAATGATATATTGCTTGGCACTTGGTATGTCAAATAAAATGTCACCCAAAAATAAGGCATCACAGACACAGAACATGAGTATAAAACACATATCCCTTAAGCATTAATCTAAGAAACTTTTAATTTAAGACTTTGAACTCATTAATAATAAGATTAGAAATTCTTACCATGGTTTTTCTCATAAACAAAAAGAATCCTATACCCTACTTTAAAATTATATAGAATCTCCCAAAATTTCTATAACAACAAATTTTTTTTTTTTTTTAACAATTCCACAACAAGGAGCTCTGCTCCTCAACAACAAACAATCAACATATACAACAAATCAAGATTCTATTTGTAATCAATGAAGAACACATGAAATAGACTATAAAAATAATACTCAAGCCGACATTTACATCAAGTGAGATCTATCCAAAGAAATTCTTCTACTTCAGTTCAGCAATAAAGCTCTTAATGATCAACAATAAATACAAGTCCAGCTATTATTTGAGGCTAAAGTATTTTCTAGTGAATAACATCTCAATTATAAAAATAAATAAAAATAAAAAATAAAGAAAATATGTAAATTCTTTAAAGAAATAATTCAGTACAATGTAAACACCTTGTTTCAAAATAAAATAAAAAATTATTCAATTTCAATTTGCATGATTATGAACATAAAACCAACATCAAATCATGAATCAATAGACTAGAAAAATGAAAATTGTAGTAACCTTGTCATTAAGAATCAAATGAAATTGTATACATAATAAATGAGCTAAATGAAATCATATTTTATTGGGACTTTACCATAACAGAAAACAAATGTGGACACAGTCTACAAAGATAAGTAACCAAACCTAACTTACTCTACAAAGACAGATGTGAACATATAGTCCATAAGGGTAACTAACTAGACATGGTTAAAGCTACGAAACGAACATGAACACACAATCCACGAGTGTAAATAACCAGACGTGGTCAAAGCCACAAAATAGATGCAGGTACAAAACCTACAAATAACAGACGTAAAAACAAAACTTACAAAAACCAAACTAGCTAGTCATTAACCAAGGCACGTTTAAGAGCTAACGAAACTGCCATTAATAACCAATGTTTTGTATACAGTCCTTTCAAAAACCATTTTCAAACAAGTAATAAAATAACCACTTTTTCAAATATAAATTTCTCTTCTCCGTATCAAACTCGCAGAATCAATTAAAATAATAAATCTTCTAAACATGAAAATTCAAAACTATTATCTCATAAACTCTTACCAATTTTCATGATTGTCAATCTTTGTCGGATAAAAGATTGCTCGAACTTGTAAAAACATTTAATCAATTAAAATAAATGCCTTTTGCAAAAGAATGTACAGACACATACTATGACTTCAGAAGTTCGAGTAATTTAATTAAGAAAAATATTCAACATTTGAAATAGTACACATGATCTATTTAAGAAAAATATTTCAGTAAAAAAATTGTTAGTAAATTATTGGGATGTTATTCACTTACCTGAAGAGTTTCAAAATATAACTTGCTACCAAATTAGTCTTCTTGCAATGATACTTGCCCTTCAATTTCCCAGTGCCTAGATAATACAATAGTCATTTTCCATTATACACTTTGCAACCCAAAATCTACAATCCAAATTAATTCATAGGAGAAGAATAGGTAAATTTTAACTCCATCATTCTCAAAAATTACATCAATTTTTTTTCCTTAAAATTACCAATCAAGATACCTATTCCTAAAATCTCTATTTTTTTTTTCCTTAAAGACTAACATCAATAGCAATTTAACTCATGAATTACCAATCAAGATAACTATTCCTAAAATTTCTAATTTCAGCCTCAACTTCCATTATAAAGTGTCTTCCATAATATTTTAACTAACAACAATACAACCATCACAAATATCTTGCCATTATATGTCAAATTCATCTAACAAGCATTTTATTAAGGTCTCTTCTCTTCCAGTCTTATAATATACAATAAGATTTTATTAAACATCCAACAAATTCAATAAACTTCCTTCTAACATTAACACAATATAATAGATCTCAATAATTCAAAATTTCTTAAACATCATCATTTACATCAGAGTTTTCCCATATGACTTTAACCATTGTCTATTTCTCAATTTGGAATATGATTTCCACTTAAAACTTATATCAAACCCTTCATGTGCATGATTTTCGCCCATTCAGTGAAACTTCTTAACCTTTTAATGCCTTACCCAACAATTCCTGAACAATCACAATTAGATTCATCATGCTTTTCAAATTCAGCTCCCCCTCCTACACATTCACGTAGCCTATTGAAATCGAATAGAAAGATCAACTTCATAGCATTCACTCTTCGCACCCACATGCACAGATTCAGCAGAGAGGGCATATCTACAACTTCAACCCCTGAAATACACACACGAAATCAACGAGAACAGTTCTAAGCTTCACCTGAATCAGTAATGACAGAGAAGGGAAAGAGAAAGAAGAAATCGACGCAAGCAGGGGAGGAGGAAGATCACGAATCCACAGCAGCACCCAAAGCAACACATGGAGAAAGGAGGAATTTTCTCGCCACTCATGGCCTCTGACGACTGCAACAAGAATGAAAGAAGCTATGAGCTATACAAACCCCCCCCCCCCCAACAGCAGTTAATGGCAGCGACTTAATGTGGGGGAGGAGGAGAAATTGCAATCTGAAGCACATTGCATATTGCAATAGTGGTTGAATAGGTTAGGAAGAGCAAACAGCAACCCAAGCACCCTCAGCTGCCAACAACGAAGCATCGAAGGTATGAGGCTGAGGAGATCGTAAGACAGAAGAAAGAAGACGGGAGAGGCAGAGAATATTTTTTCTGTTTGAAGTATCCAGATCATTCGAAGAAAGGAGAAAGTGAAATAAAAATATGATATCAAATTAGTTTTTTTAAAATAAAATAGAGGGCAGTTTGGTGATTTTAAGGAAGACTCAAATAAAGGGGAAAAAATCTCCTCCAATAATAGCAAGATTTGAACAGGGACCTAATAGATAATTTATTAACAAAATTTCCATTAGATCAACTCTCCCTCTTATTAAATTTGTTCCAAAATAATTAAAAATACAATAAAAAATATTTAATTATTAATTTTTATTTATTTTAATTTTTGTGTCATGACATAAAATGTCCAAAAGGTTTGGCATACAGCATGCAAATATTTATAGTGCATCAAGCTTAGCTTTCAAATAATGCTTTAGTTACCACCTTGAAATTAAGGAAATGCAAGAGATTTCCTATACATTAATTAGCTATTGGAAGTCTAATTTATACTTTGATTTGTATGTATTTAGATTTGTGTACATTCTAAGAAATGTTAGGTAGATATTTGGATTGAAAAGCAGCCATATAGTTATTATGCTAATTGAAAAGAATGAAGGCTGGCATACTCATACATCATAGATTAGATCAGTTAGAGATCATAAAGTATCTTGATTCTAACTATGAAGAATGCCATTTATGCCACACCCCAGAACTGAGGGTGTGACCGAAATAAAATATAAGATAGACTCACATTTCATAAGTCTCAATTAACTAGAAAATTAATTTAAGATAATAATATATAATTTATGACTAAATTTAAGATTTGTAAAATTTTAAGCATTCTGTAAAAATTTCAATAAAGTCTCTCCTATAATTAGGACCTTCTAAATTTCTACAATAACAAACCTTTTAGCCAAACCAAAAGGAGCTTAGCTTCATACCAACAAATTTCACAAGAAAATAAAACTAGAAAACCATAGTATACATGAAGCACTAAATTACAATTGATAATGTAATACAAAAGTACATCAAAATAAATGGTCCATATATACTTCCACTTTCCAGGAAAACAATTGTGTCCCGTAATGATCAATAGAAGATATAGGGTCAACTTCAATATATGAGACCAAAGACAATTTTTGATAAGTAACATCCCAATTGAGATTATAAAAATGAAGAGAACATTTATGAATCCAATAAGAAAAATAACCATTAACATATTAAAGCTCATTTTATTCATCATTTTATTTTTTTTTAAACAATCATATACAAAAACATAAATTAAGTATATAAATTTATATATTTAATTACAGATAATGGAGAAATCAAGTTCAACATCCCAAGCAACATTCTCTATCTTAAACAATTGAATTATATAATTTATTGTGTAAAATCATATATGATCAAACGACAGTTTGATTAATAGAATAAATTTGAAAAAACATTATCAGTTTCCAAAACTTCATGTTTTAGCATAACTTTATCAGAACGATTAACAAGCATGGACGCATAGTCCATAAGGGTAAATAACCAACAATCATGGATACATTGTCCACGAGGGTAAGTAACCAACAAGTATGGCTCGAAGCCACAAAAACAAGTGCAAGAACAAAACTCATGAAATCAAGTGTAGACACAAAGCCCAACAAAACAAACGTGAGTACTATGTTCACAAATAACCATCCCTCCATTCCACATGTGTTGGCCATCTCACAAGGCTAGCACCTCTGTAATACTTTCCCCTAGCGTTAATAAAATCACACCACAACTCAAGAAAACTAAGTGTAGTTAAAGAGTTGATCCTAAAACCAACTTAAAAAAAACAATTAAATTACCAAACAATCTATACAATAGTAAAACAAACATTTAAAACCTCAGAAAAGTTTGAATGATTACTATGTAGTGCACGGAAGCAAATTAAGTAAACAAGGGCAATTAATTGCTATCACGATGTCCCTCTCGGGAAAACTTTCGAAAGGCATTGATTCACCGTCTGACCTCAAATTGAAGTGATTTCAAAAGCTTACATGTCACTTGTTAAGAGTACCAATAGTGTTTTAAATTTTAAAAAATTCAATGGTCGAATTAAAATTTGAACATATTACAAGTTTGGCATTTTTGCTATCATAACAATACTCTCGAATCAACTTCCAAAGTACACCATTTTGTCATCCAATTAATTCTAGAGCTCACGTCACATTCAAAGAGTACCACAAGTGTATCAAATTTAAAAAAATCAATGGTCAGATCAAAATTTATGCACATCCCAACCTCAGCAATTGTTGCTGTCATGACTGACAACATCTCTAGACCAACTTTCAGAATGTGCCATTTCTCTGTTCGATATCCAATCGAGATGATTCCAAAGCCAACACAAAAATTATAAAAATATTTATTGTAAGCCAAATTTCAGGAAAATCCAATGGTCAATTAAAATTTGGACACCCAAACGCAAAAATACAACTTTTTAGTAAAAATCATTTTCAAAATTGTCTAAATTTCATCCAAAAGGTCATAAATTTGTGTAAACACTTTGGCCATGTCAAATACGACTAAAAGTACCTAATAGAATATTTAAATGATGAAAAACCCTTATATCAAAATTTAAGCATTCGAGTGCCATTTTTCAACATGAACTCTAAGCCTTTAAAATTCACAAATCACATAAGAGTAGCCAAAAACCATTCCAAACACCATATACACATGAATACACGTACTAAACATTTTCACTTAACTCAAAGATTCCCATAGGGCCCATGCACCCACTCTCTCTATCCACGGTGTATGTTTACCCATCGCACACAATTTATAATGCAACCACTTTGCATTTTCTTGTAAAATCACATATATTCATATACATATTAAAATAAACATTTGCTTGTAGTGAAAATTTAGTCTACCAAATGAATCCATTAAAACCATACATCGTAACCAAGTTTTCTAGTCAAAGTCTACAAGCAGACAAAAATTCATACAAAAACATACAATCCACACATATTCACACACATATATATAATCACATCCTACTGGCATCCCAATCCTAAATACATTGCAATAAATTTGCTTAAAAGAAAGGGTTGCAATTCTTTACAATCTACAAACAACTCCTAACTCTGCTCCTTTTCTCGTCCACCACTAGATCTTTTGTCTAGACCTGTAAATATTGTAAAGAAAGGGGTGATGATGACTCCTATTTTGTATTATACTTGATATATTTTTTGGTTATATTTTGAAAGTCATCAATGAAAAAGAGAAACATTTTCTTGTTTTTATAAAAAAAATTAATTAAGTGCCTAATGTGAATTTATTGTAATATTTTTAAGGAAATTGTTTAAAATGATAAAAATTGAAGTAAGCAAATATTACACTCATATTTATTAATTATAGATAGGTGAGGCATGTCTACATCAAAACAAGAAAGAGAAAGGAGATAAGAAAAAAAGTGCTTTTTTCAATCCAAAACATAAAAGCAAAAGCATTTTCAGAATTGCTCATTGGTATCATGGCACCAGATGAAAATGCAGAAGCACAGTTTCATTTTCTATACAAAATTAACCTACATAACTCATTTTTCTGAACTAGAAGAGGCACATTTCAACTGTTGCAGCTAGAAAAAACCCTAAGAGAGTAAGAGGAGAAGTCTTAAAAGCTTAAAATCAAGAAGAAGTGAAGCAAATTTTCATTCTACCTCGGTTTTTCAGTATTTTCTCTTCTTTTCTTTTATGCTAATATATCCAAATTTTGTCTATGCTATTACAATTTTCATTTCATCAATGTGTAGCTAAATCTTCTTATTCTAGAAGACTGTGTTGCTAAATCTTCTTGTTCTAGATGACTATGAACCTACTTGTGTAAATAACCTTAAATTTATCATTTAGTTGTTGAAAAATAAAGTTTTGATTACTTGTTCTTGAGCTATTTTGCTCTTGTTTAGTGATTGGCCATCACTACGTGAGATTTGGACATTTGAGTTGAACCTTAAAAGATGAGACTCAAATTGGACTGAGAACTAGTAGCCTAAGATTAGTTTAACTAATTTTCCATTAGAACAAGAATGTATCTAATAAATCTAAGTAATCCTCATGGGTTAGGGCCTACAACACAATTAATTAATTAAAGTAATAATTTGCTTTAATTGAATTAATTAGGATCTTTAATAATTAGAAGATATTTTGAATTAATTTAGATTCCTAAATTATCAAAATTGAATTTCAAGACAATTAATATGGTAATGAGAGGGTTAGGAAGCAAATAGGGAATTAGGACTCTAAAACACTATTCTCTTGGTTAACTTTAATTGTTTGTGGATTGAAAGTTATTTTAATTGATCACTTTTAATATTTTCATTTTAATTGTCCTAAAATCAATCTCTATTTTTTATTAGCTTAATGAATGAATTTGAAAATTTAATGCCTAATCACCATTTTAATTTATTTCTTGAGGGATCGACCTTGATTTACCACTAGCTTCAATTGCGACCCGTACACTTACGGTGCCTCTTAATTTTTGTGGGCATCAGGTGAGACAATCACAATCTTAATAACAAAAAAAATTGATATTTCTTATTACAAGGAAAGCTATAGTTAAGTAAATAAATAATATATCTAAAATAATATATAATTAACCAATTAAAATGCTTAAATGCATGAGATCGGCTAATATGACCTTTCCTAACCAACAGAATGCCCTCTGATACTCTTTAGCTTGCAGGTAAACCTTATATCCACTATACCCCCGCAGGCACAAAATATAAACTAAGGCATGATCTGATCCACCGAACTGTCTATATCCCGACTTGGATCCTAAAAAGTCAAAACTAACTCCCTCCTAAAGTCAGTCCAACTTACTCTCCATATGAGGGCTACCTTAGCCTAGCACTCAACCTCAAACTTCTCATGTTGGATCCCCTCCCCTATTAAGAAATGTCAAACACTCAATCCATTAACCTCTTTAGTGAACTTAGCCAACAAATAGGTAAAGCAACACTAAATATTGGCAATGAGCCAAAGAATATCACAAGATCACATCTTCTCATTGGTAAACTCCCACCAAGATCATGCCTCATATCCTTTTCTACCTTTCCTAAGTATTGACCACTTCAACACTATAAGATAGTATAACACTTATAATTCATCCCTTAAGCGGTTCCTTAGCTTATCTAAAGTATCAAACCTAGCCGCACTTTCCTAAGTACAACTCCTCATTTTTATGATCACAATGCATGCTAATAATTTTATTTCCATAAATATCATTATTAAATAGATAGTAAACATAGATGCATTATTATTAAAGTAATACCCCATAATCCCTTCTAAAACACATTTTATTTGCATTCAATTATTTAAAATATGTAATACATGCTAGATAATATTATCTACTCAAAAATAGCTAAATAAAGCAATAAGAAATATAAATTTTTTTGTTACCTCAACCATTTTGCACTGAAAAAGTTTTCCCTTCACTACAACAAAAAACATCTACAAGAGTGTTTATATTTACCCTTTTGGAGCATTTTTTAAACGCTCCAAAAATAGGAGCTCCTATATGTACAAGAGCATTTTTTAAACGCTCCTATAGACCAACCTACGGGAGTGTTTTTATTAAAACAAGCTCCTGTAGTTAGCATACGGGAGCTTTTTCAGAAAAGCTCCCCTAGGTCCATCCTACCAGAGTGTTTCTATGTAGAATAGTTCTCGTATGTTGACCTACAGGAGCTTTTATGAATAGAAATGCTCCCGTGGAAGTTTTTTTTTTTAAATAATTTTTAATGCAGATATACATTTCATGAATTTTGTCTTTGCGCTTGAATAATTTATATATAATCAATCCTACAACTATAAAAAGAAAAATTCTCGTCGAATTCATACACACAACTTAATATATCATTGAAAATTACCGGAGTTTAATTAAAACCCATTACTACAATGATAGAAATTGAACATAACAACTTGTCATTTAATTTTGAAAGAGACAACTCAAATTACAAACCAAATTCTTTCATATATCAAAATTCTTATAGCAAACATCATATATTAACTAATTTTTAATACCTTGTAAACATCTCATGACATATTGCTAATCACTCTATTAAATCTTTTAATTCTTCCATCTTGAAAGACTTGCATTGGGCATCTCAGTAATTCTACAACAATCCAAAACAACGTATTTGGAGAGAAACAAATTTAACATATCAGTCATAAATGAAGATCAGCATAGGAAAGAAAGTAGCTAAATTCACCAAGTTCTGAAACATCATAAATCAAAATATCCTCACTCTAGAATTGATGCACAATCTATATATAACATATTTTAAGGGTATAGGCATATTAAATTTGATAATTTTTGTATATACTGAAACTAAAAGTGATAATCATAACAAATACTCACAAAATTAACACACATTCGCACACAATTATATTCTGTACAAATGTTTATCCAAAGAGAAGATTATTACCTTGGCCTAAAGAAGTTAACAGTCTATTCAACAAAATAATATCTTATCCAACAGCAACTTTCTTTATGAGTAGTTGCTGTCACCTGGAAAAAGAAAATAAAAAAATAATAAATCAACTTTAATGCATGGTAAATATTTAGGAAAAAAAGTAAATACTATAAGGACCAATAATCAAACAGATGCAAAAAAATTTATTTCAAAATGATAAAGACAAGGATTTGAGTAGAGATAATGAGTATATTTTGAAATTTAAATTTAGGGATCACAGCCCAATCATTTTTCTCTAGTCTATTTGGTTAGAGAGAAAAGCTTGAGTTTTCAACGTAGTTTCTATTCAATTCGGTGTTCAGCTCAAGATCCCCATTGTTGGCATTTGCACATATTTTCGAGCTTAATTAGTTGAGCAGATTTGAAAGAAAAAAAAATCCAATCTATTGATCACAGAACAGGTTTCTCCCTTTCAAAAACCAAATCTGATGCAACAATTAAATACATTAAGCAATATCATTATTTTCTATGCTTTCATTTTATATCTTTTAAGACATAAGGAGTGCTTCTATTGGTTTATAATTACTACATTCTTTATGCATTATCAAAGAAAGGGCAAAATAGGATAGAAGTAAGCAAGAACTGAATCAAAACCAAGCAATATCATACAATCGTAAAGCTTTAAAGCATCTGCAGCTATAACTATAATAAATGAATGTAAGCATAAACAATCAACAGGAAATAAATCTGACATATAGATATTAGATGAGATCATCATATATAAGCATTGTGACTGTCAACTTACAAACAGTATGGGAATAGCAGCAAAAACTAGGCTGGTGAATGCCACTGAAGTCCGCATTCCAACATGTTAAAAATAGTCAGCATTGCAACAGAAACACACAATAAGGTATACCCAATAAAGCTCACGAAAGACAAGTTAAAACAAGATACTGTTGCTACTTCATAAGCATTTGTCCCCTAGAAAAGGCAGACTAGTAGCAAACATGAGACAATAATCAATTAATAATTACCTGTGGAAAAACAATAGCAAGATTTAAAACTCCTAAGGCCAATCCTGCATATATGGATAGAGGAATAATCTCTATTAGATACTTCCATAATCAGAAGTATTTCAGGAATAAAATACCAGATAACCCTGAACCAATATCAACAGGTTACTCATAAGTTAAGGTCCTTTAGGAAAAATGAAAAATCCAACTTCATAACCTCATACATGAGCTATCAAGAAGATCTTGATCATATCAATCACTATGCATCAGAACAATAAGCCTAATGCAATTTCTCAAGACAACGTGTTTCAAGCTAAAAAAACAAAAATAAAAAATGTGCAGTAACTTAATTAAGAAGCCTGTGTCTCCAAGTTACTTGTAAGAATTATGGCTTCCCCTGGTAGCTCCATGGATTGTTGCCTTCTCAACAACATTGGTCCCAGCACATTTCCTTTAAGCGAAATTTTGCCCTGCACAAACACATCCACAATGAATCAGCTTCATTCGAATCCCTAATTTTTTTTTTTTTTACCAATTCAACCTGATTACTCATGTTCTGTTCACAAAAGGTTCGATTACAACCTAGTTCTTTCTCAGCTTCCCCTCTTGATGCATATACAGCAACAGCATCTTCTGGCCTCCTCGGACACTTCTTCAGGCGACCAATACAAAGATTGCAACAGTATAAGAACTTAGCAGGAAAAAAAAAAAAGGAAATGTCACAGTCTTACCTTGGAAACCGAAACACCGGAAGATGTGACAACAGGACATCGAAACGCTGCTTTGGAAGAGGCACAACACGATATGAACTGGATCTGACCTCAATGGAGCACGACTGGGTGAGGAGGGCCGACGCGGATGGAGCACGGACGAGGAGAAGCAGAACGCACGATAAACAAATTAAAGAGAGAACTGGATCTGGTTCGGACTGGTCTGGAACGGTGGACTCGCGACTGAATGGAAAACACGTGAGGATGACAGCTATTCGTGCTGGAAAGGGAACAGCAAAGATGAATGGTGAGTCTATTCACGGCGGGAGAGAAGAGCTTCACGGTGTCGAACGAACGGAAAGCTTCGAAGAGGAAACCTAGTGTGACAGAATGAAAGATGGAAGCCGTTTAAAAATTAAAAAACAAGATTGAAACCTACCAGAGCTTCTTGGGCCTAAAACGCTCCGATAGAGTAAAGGCCTACGGGGAGCATTTTTAAGCTAAAAATGCTCCTGTAGGTTGCTAAGCTATTTTAAAAAAATTTAAAAAAAAATAAAGCTTCATGGGAGCGCTTTTTATGGCAGACGCTATGACCGTAGCATTTTAAAACAGAAACTCTCCAGTATGCTCCGTATCGTTTTTTTAAGAACATTTTCAATTTAAAACGCTCCTACATGGGCACTCCTATAGCTTTTTTCTGTGATAATGCTTGTATAAAAAGAAGACTTGAACTGTTCTTTAACTTTTCAATAAATTTCATCAACAATATATACAACATATAAATGATCCATATTATTTATCATGGCAAATAATATAAAATAAGACTATAATTCATACCACATAACTTGAGTCGATGAGCCATAATCCATCTCATTGATCCAAGTATTAAACAAATCATTCTCATAATATCATTTAACCATCAAAACCACGTATTAGTCATCATTAGGCCAATTTTCAAACCATACAATTTTTAATCAACAAAAACATTTACTTAGTATTGCCAACTTTTATAATTAGGCCTTATAATGAAAACTAAAACTTAATTTAAATCTAATTAGATTCAAATAACACAATTATAACTAATTCAATAGGTTTAAACTATTAAAGAGCAAAATCCAATCCTTTGGAATTTGAATTTTTGCCTTAAAACTCTCTTTTTATTCAATTGCTCGCTCAAAATATTAAAGCATCATATAGAAACTCAAAAAGAACTTCTCAAAGACCCAAAGAAATCAAAGTTTTTAAGAACAAAGTCTTTAGTATCAAAATTTAAAACTTACCTCTTTTAAAAGCTCAAGAAAACCAAGAGGAAAGAAGAGAATTGAAATGAGGAGTTTGCCTATCGTGTAGCTAAATAAAATTAAACGAGCAAATAATTAACACAAGATCCAACAATTCTTATGTCATTATGAATTTCCCTCCTCATAATAAAGGAGCAAAATTAACATCCAAATATTCGATAATAATCCTTTAAACTTCTTATAAACCCCTTAAACTTTCATTGAACACTTTAATAACTTCTATCAAATAGTTTGACAATACATAGTAGCATTCAATTTCAACCATTAACATAGCCCTTATATTAGACTTAACAAAAATCTTAATTATCATATAGTCTAATGACTTCCTTTTAAGTGCTACACAATTTCAATGAATATTTTAACTATATATCTTGCATGTAAAGACATATACTCCGTCAGAAATATTTTTAATTTCTCTATGCTCCACTATAAAAATTTAACAATCTTATTTTCACCAACAAACATTTTAAGCATATTTACAAGCATTAAAAGAACAATCACCATTAACTAACTCATGAAACAAGCATCCAAGCAAGTTCAACAATTTTCAATATCTAATTTCTTCACCAATATTCAGCTCAACATTAATAAAATAGCATCGAATATTATTCAAAAAGAACCTAAATTCTTCATTTAAATATTTCTACAAATCTCTCGAGTGCACTCAAATTTAGTTCACAATGAGCCTCCATCATCCATATTCAGCTTATCATCAAAATAAACAACACACAAAATTAACTAAAATGCACCTCAATTCCCTAAAAATTGTGACATCCACCAATATAGAAGGGAGAGGACTTAGGCACACCATCGAACGAAGAAACAAGAAAACAATTAATTAACTCAAAGTTTCCATGGCAGCCATACTCTCTAGAATACCATATTTGCTTCAATGATGATCAAAGGAGGGAAAAGGTGGCTGGTCTAAATTTTACAGAGTTGAAATTTCAAGCTTACATGGCTAACAACAGTGACAGAGAAGAGTAGCAACAAGCTTATCCCATGCACAAGACTCAACAAATAAGGTGGAAAGGAAAATAAAGACCGAACAAACACAGAACAACGATGGAAGAAGCAACGACTTCATCACCTCAAGCAGCCAAACACGACCGCGAGGATAGCTCCAGTCGACAGCAGTGGAGAAATCAACGACAAGGACTAGACAGAGATGGCTCGACGTTGAAGAAAGAGAGGAGAAGCTTCAACGTGCGACGATGAAGCAGGGAAGATCAGAATGAAATAGGGGCAGCGATGAGGAAAGGAATCTGGTGACAGCAATACTCCTAGCGGCAGGACATGACGATGAGGAAAAGACAAGACCCGGCTGATTGTGAGCAAAGAAGATCAACAACAAGAACAGAAAGGCGGTGCGACAGGGAAGAGGAGAAGGAAAATGAAGAATAACGCTATCTCTCTGTTCCGCTCTACCCTCCGTGTTCGAATGAAGAAGGCAGAAAATAATATATATATATATATATATATATATCTTGTTGGAAAATCACACCTAAAGACCCCATCAGAATTTCTTTTTGGGAGAATGACAATTAAGGACCTCCTAAAAATTTAATCCCAACTATGGATTGTAAATTTTGAAATCAGAGTTAAGGACCATGGTCCTTAATTGTGATAAAAAAAATGTAATTTGTGAGGTGGGATTCACTAACCGACTTGAAAATTCACTAACCAACTTGAGAAAATTACTAACATATATTGTGAAAACATGAAACCTCACTTGAAAATGGAATGTTTAAAAAAAGCGCCACTTGGAAATTCACTAATTAGACTTGAAAAAATTTCTAATGTATATTGTGAAAAAATGAAACCCCACTTGAGAATCATTAATAAAAAGTGACTTATCCAAATTGGTGTTTTTTATTAAACAATCAATTCCAAGTGAAGTTTCATGTTTTCACAATATACGTTAGAAATTTTTTCAAGTCGAGTTAGTGAATTCTCAAGTGGCGCTTTTGTTAAACATTCAATTTTCAAGTGGGGTTTCATGTTTTCACAATATACGTTACAAATTTTCTCAAGTTGGGTTAGTGAATTTCAAGTGGCAATAATGAATCTCACATCACAAATTACATTTTTTTAATCACAATTATGGTCCTTAATTGAGATTTCAAAATTTCACGGTCCGTAATTGGGATTAATATTCTTAGCAGGTCCTTAATTGTTATTCTCTCTTTCTTTTTTGTTATTATAATAATCTATTTATTATTATTATTAATTTATATAATAAGATGCAAGGGCACTTAAGTAATTTCTCCATATAAAACAAAATAAAATTAACATTTAGCTTAAGTAAGATTTAAATTTGGGACTTCAAGTAAGTATTTAGTATTGAGCTACTAGGCTACTATTCACACTAGTTATAAAAGTAAAATATATAAATAAATAAAATATTAATTGAAAAATAATTATTTGATTTAAAATTTAGGAGTCATTACATTTACGATGGTATTTACAGCATATTATGAGGCATCTAACAATGGAATATGGTTGATGAATATCACTTGGCTGTGCTTATTGCAAAAAATAGAAATAGCATTAAGGTATTGTGACAACTAGATTAAATCCCCCTGCGTTGCACGGTTTTTTAATTAAAAAGTAATAATCAAATAAATATCTTGACATGTCATTGGAGAGGGTTATTTTATTTAAAATGATCTTTTAAAGATATAAATGAGTAAAGAAATTCTTATCAAACAACATTTCATTGTGTATTCATAAAATGGTAACTTAAGTATTATTAAAAAAAATTAACAAAAATGGTTGACTTTTTGTAAATTAATTAACTTAATTTAAGTATAATTTTATTATAACAATTGAACAATGAATTTATAAAGGAAAGAATGATGTCAATATAAACATTAGTCGAGAATATTGTTAGCCTGTCTTTTAATATTTTGTAGATATAAATGCAATTATAACAATCTCATATTTTATTCATTTATAACGTAAAATGTAAAAAGTTGTGAAATAAATTTCTTTAATTTAATTTTAAATGTTATCATATATTAGAGAGATTTTAATAATAAAATTAACTAAATGAGCACATTTCGAAAAAGTCAATATCATTATGTAGATTGAATGTCATGTGTTTCACAATTTTGAATTCATACAAATATAAGAGTAATTTTTTAAAGTTTGATATTAAACTAAAAATTAGAAAAATAATTGCATGATGAATTTTAAATAAAGATATCTTCAAGAACTTGAATAAAAATAATGAAATTGGCATATTAGACATGCGTAAGATTTATTTGAATATATACATCTTTAATTTAAAGAATATAAATGTTGTAATAATGAATTCTTTTATATTGTGGATGTGAAAATATCGTTAATAGTTAAAAGAATATTAGTAAAAAAAATTGATATCCACTGTGTAAACAGATGGAAGTTATTGAAATCATTTCAAATAAATTTTTTATGCACATTAATATTTTAATAGTAGCAAGCAATGTTTATTTAGATCATTAAGCATGATGGCAAACTGCAGAAAATTAATCATGACAAGATGCTATACAAAATTATTTGTCAGCATTCTCTTTTATCATGATACTATTATCGGTGACAAGATTGTAGTAATAATGTCTACTATTTATAATTATTAATCAAAGGTGACACTTGGACATTTTATTGTTTCCTCAATTTATTGTTTCTTCATATCATTTACCTCCAGGATAACAATCTCCAGTGAGTTTCCGATGTCTCTGGCTCAGTTGAGTGTTTGATGTACTTGGATCTCTTTTCCGACAACTTTTCAGGTCCAATTGCTTTTCAATGAACACCCACTTGACCGGTCTATTCTTGCAAAACATTGGTTTCCCGGTGACCATGGGAGAGTTTTGTCTAAAGAGGGCGTTTTGGTAAATACACATAAAAATTTAATTACATTTAAGCTCTCTAGGACTACAGAATAATTTATATAATAGATGGGATTTTAGAGTATTTTTTGTTGTCGTGCGAGACTTTTAAATAATTATCCCTGAAAGAAAAATCACAAAGTATGAATATAGCTTATTAGAGAAGGAGAATTTTCAGGGACACCAAATTTTATTAGTTGGATTGGATTACACGAAACTTACTCTATTTGACACGCAAGTAACGTGTAATTTAAGAGCTTGATCCGAAACTTTGCAAACAATTGTATTTAATATTTATTATTGCCTGGTCTAAAAGTATTAGATTTGCATTGGTAAAAGAAATGCGATGTGGAAGTCCTTGACATTGACATCGTAGCAACTTTCGGCGAGACAAATGACTCAGATGGTCTCTGCTTCCTTTTTTAATCCTTGAGGCCGACCTATTCACTTTCGGAGGAGCTGACCGCCTTGGAAGAGACGGAGCTTCAATTGCAACATTCCAGACAAAGTGAGGCGAATCTTCAAATGGCTTATGGCGGTGTAAACGGCCTGATTTTCTCCATATGGGTAAGCAAATTCTAGTCTCGAAGAGTTGCATCTTTACTAATTATGAGTGTATTTTTTCCATATGGGTATGAGCAGCTTGATTTTATGCACAACGGTAAGTATATATGACTGTGAGAATCGTACATGCAAGTCTTAGGTTTCTGATTTTGAAAAACAGGAATAAATGATTGGTTAATCATATAAGGAGATGTTTTTCCTGTTGTATACATCTTATATGTGATGACGATAAAAGGAATGGATGTGTTTTGGAGCATACAAGTGGGCTCTAAAGCATACATATTTCTTGCAGTAATGTACTTTCTTTAAATCATAGTCTTCAAGATTCTATATGAAGGACTAAGGAGCACTTATATGTTAATTTTTTGTGCAGATTGTGTATGAATCATTCAAGGGATTTTAGGTAAAATACATCAGAATCCAATATCTAAGAGATGAAATGAATACTGCATTAACTAACAGGGATTGAGTGGAAGTTTTTTTAGTACAGGGAAACCAACTTTAAAATAGAAGTGCGCTAGAATGTTGTATGATTAGGCGATATGAGGAATAAGCACCAGCTGAAAGATATGAAGAGTAAACACCAGCTGAAAGCTCTGCTTCCTGAACACAAATGCTGCCATTAAGCATAAGGTACAAAAAACCAAACCATTTAAATAATATAATACAATTGATTATAAGGATAGATATATCGAGATGCAGAAAATTTTCATTATAATTAGTACGCATGCATCATATTTTAGTTATTTGAATTAATTTCATGAACCCAAGGCTTTGAAGGTGACAAAAAAGACATACAAGTTATTGTAGCTAATATTTTTTTGGAGATGATGATGATAAAGGAATGGATGTGTTTTGAAGAATACGAGTGGGTTCTGAAGCATGTATATGTCTTGCAAAAATGTACTCTCTTTAAATAATAGTCTTCAAGATTTTATAATAAAGAGCACTTATAGGGTAATTTTTTGTGCAAATCAAGTTTGAATCATTTAAGGGATTTCAGTAGAATGCATCAGAAACCAATTATCTAAGACATGAACTGAATATTGAATTAACCAACAATTATTGAGTTCAATTTTTTTTTAAACACTGGAGACCAACTTTAAAATAGAGTTGCGCAAGAAGGTTTTATGATTACATGATATAAGAGTAAACACCAGCTGAAAGCTCTGCTTCCTAAACACAAATTCTGCCATTAATACATTTGATTATAAGATGGATAGCTACATCAAGATGTAGAAAAATTTTATTATAATTAGCACGCATGCATCATATTTGAGTTATTAAAATTAATTTCATGAATCCAAGGCTTTGCAGGTATTCAACTTGTTAGTTTAGGATCACGTTTCAAGGATAGGTTCATTTTATGAGTTTTTGTGAAGTGGGTTTCCATCAAAACTAAGTTTATTGGAATTCAAGTGCTTCTTTAGTTAAACTAAGATTGTTGCAGACATGGTGTTTGAATGCTAGAATTATACCAGTAGTAACCTTTGGAAAACTCATGTGATAAACATGTGAGGATGTAGTGATCTAATTCTATGAGATTTTTAAATTTTGGTGCAAATAAATTTTAGATACGACTTTTGCGGGATTTGAGATCAAATGTCTTGGATCTCAATTACTAAAGTTAATTATTGTAATAATAACAATTTGTTTAATTACCAGTAATCACCAATTTCAATTGCAGAATCATGGAGATTATTTTCAATTGGTTATTTAAATCAAATCATTTAATTCCCACCTATTTGATTCATAACTTCACTCATAGGGCATCAACCTTTAGTCAAAACTTTATAATTAATTTTTTCAATGTTTTTCCTAATGAAAATAGTAATTAACAGTATTAAATATTAAACAATATCTTAAATATGGCGTTATTGTTTACAGTTTTTTAGTGTCTGACTGTTGCATGTTTCCAAAGTGTCTTTTTTTAATGTTATACATTTACTTGCAGATAATTCATAACAAAAAATGATGGAATTACAAATTAAGATTTTAGATGGTGTTAGTAATTAAGATAATTGTTAACACATTCATTCATTGTAGATAAATCCCCCCACCCCTTGTGTTTTAGCTTCTTTAATTAATGTTTCCATCTAATCCAGGCAACGGCAGATGATTAGGAATAGTCTCTTGTCGTGGCCAATGGTTTTGCTCTTCACTGGACAGTGATTCAATTGACGTGCTGATTCAGGCATTGAGTATTGATCATATTCTCTCCTACTGTTATTGGCTCAGCTTCTACCATTTTACTTTTTTCAGCCTTTAGATTTTACTTCATATCCACTGATCTTCATTGCATAGTTCTCCATTTGGTTCCCTCCTCATTCTTAGGAAGATACATTTGTGTGTTTTCTTGTACAGCATGAGTGAGTTAATTTAGTCCTAATCTAATTGAAAATTCCTCTAAACTATAGAATTAGTGACATTTTGCTTCCATTGGATTTTTGGATGACCCTCTTCTTTCGGTGATCTCTTTTTATCAGTATTGAATAACAGCTATTTGATGTATTGCTTTTGTGAAAATGATTTTGTTTGAAGATGATAACTTGTTGATGAACATGCACATGCAACATTCATAAAATGATTTGTTTTCTCAATTGTTTCATTCATCAGTATAAGCATTCTTACTTTCTAAGTGGGGAAATCCTAAATACACAAACTTTAATTTCATTTTCACAAATCATATATATAGATGTTGAAATCATGAACTAATTACATGGGCTAGTATAAGATTGAATTTGCTTATGATATCTAGTATAAAATTTGGATTTTGTCACTTGTACCGATGAAAGAAAGGAAAAGTCAGGTCCTGCACGGGACATACGATCAGTCATTTATAATTGTTTAACATTATCAAGTTTAGTTTTGTTACCCTTTGGTAATATTCGTTATCTTTTTAGTATTGGTGTTTGCCTTCTGTTAATTAATAGGTGTTGTCTCTTACTATAGATCGATAGAGTATCAAGTGATCTTAAGTAGATGTAAGATTTTGGCTTTAGAAAACTTGCTTTTGTTTTCAATTAGTAATTATGGATAATAAATCAGACAATACATCTATCAAAATGTAAGTCAAGGCATTATTTATATATAATATGATCAAGTTGAATATATAGAGGCTTTTAATGAATGACAAAAGTTTATTATCATTGGCTAAGCTACATTTTGAAAAATTTCTTTGTAAACTACATTGACAGTAGAGACCCTTGGATGTAAATTAGTATCATGAATTAGAATTTTGAGAACACCCCTAGACCTAACTCTCGACAATGCTACATACAACTAACCATGTGAGAAAACAGGCCTCAGTAAATATATCCCAACTCTTGACAATGATTGTCCTTGACTCTTGTTTATTGTCATTGCAAATGAAAGTACTATTAAGAATTGTCGTCGATGCATAAGGAAGGGTAGGCTTCCCTCGAAGGGACTTAAATCCATACGATGGACATAAACTTCCTCACCTGGTCTTAAACCATTTAGTGTTAGTCCCCTTATACAATGGTCTCCCAATAATGTTATTTGCAGTCTTGTTCCATTGCAAAGACTATTAGCTTGGTTGATATTCTGTATAAGCATGACTTGAACACCAACTTTAATGGTTAATTTGTGTAGAGCCCTGCCAGAACACTCAACTGTGTTGAGAAACTTAGTGTTGTAGATGTCATCAAAAGAATTTGAATCTTGGTCATCCTTGCAAATTGTGTATGAACTAAAATATGTCACTTCTTCACATGAAGATTTTGAATAGATATAGTTATTTAGCTTATGAACAACTTCAAGTGTTAGAGCTAAAATTGCTCGGTCTGTGAAAAAATTTTCTTCTCTATAGTTCTCTTCTAATGTTAGGTAAGTAGTTTCAACAATTGTCTTCAAAGGATTTGAAAATTCTGTTATTAAGAGATCATGAGGTATATTTATTTTTGAAACATTATCATTTTCTCCTCTAAATGTTCCATCCCCAACACTAAGAAACCAATCTAAAAAGGTTTTGATCTTGTCCTTGTCTAATGATTAGTTATATGTACTCAATCTCATGTTTTTTTATCAACTTGTACATCTTACAATAACACCAGAGATATGAAGAATTTATTAAGGTATTAACAACATTTTCTCTATCACTGCTAGTAACACTGGAAGAATCTGTCTAAAATCACCTCCAAGCACAACTACCTTCCCCCCTAAAAATTTGATCACAATGCATGATATCTTTCAAGCTTTTATCAAATGCCTCTATATAATATTTTTTAATCATAGGAGCTTCATCTTGCATAATGAGATCAGTGTTTGAGAGAAGAGTTGCAATAGCTGTACCATGCATGATATTACATGTAGAATCTTCACTTATATTTATGGGGATGGAGAACCTAGAATGAGCTGTTCTTCCAAAAGGTAGTAGTGTTGCCATAACTGCACTTGATGCAACATGTAACACAATCTTTTTTTAGACCTCATGTATGCTATTAGAGCATTCTACATAAAAGTCTGACATGTTCCCCCAAAACTATACACAAAGTAAAACCTACCTTTTTTTCCTTTACAACTTTTATGATATCATCATAAATTATCCTCTACTCATCTGTAATTTTTTTCTCAAATGTAGTTCTTTTTTTGATGTATTCATTTGAGTTGAAGCTTAATTCTTCCATTACCAAATGATTTTGTGTGTCATAATTAGTCACAATAGTAGGCTTAAGTAATGTAGGATAATCATCAAGTGATCTTCCATTTTGAAGGAGAATCTTGTTTATTTCTGAGAGTACTGCATTTTGTCTATCTTCATCTGAGAACATAGAATATGTAGCATTGAGATATATATAAGAAAACTTCAACCTTAGCATGACAATCAAGGTCATAATAAAATTAAATTTAAATTAGTTAATATTGTAGTGATTGAGGTATTATTTCTTACTATTAAATTTAAATTTTGATTTAGATATAAATAATCGACATACGAGGGATATTTTAAGTTGTGGTTTAGATGTAATGTCCTGTATCATACTGAATTCTGATGTGGAGTAGAATATGTCCTTATATATTAGATTGGAAGTTTCCTTCCAAACCTTTTTTGCTAGCTAAGACAATTACTTAGCAACATGTTTGCAAAGAATCTTCTTAGGTAATGACTAGATGCCCAAATTGAGGTCTTTTTAATTCCATCAATGTACTCTTGATTGTCATCTAATAGTCCTAAAGCATAGCATGCAGCTCTGTATATTGGGTATACTACATCATTAACTGTTCTGATGTCTTCAAAAGATGTTGGCCCTTTTACTTTCGTTAGAAGATAGCGAAGGAGAAAAGATTCACCCTGTGACAGCAATGCATGTGTAATTCTACTAATGGAGAATCCTCTTTGGCATGACCTTCATTTCTTTGTTTCTTATCAAACACATAATTCTTTGTTTTCTTATCAAACACATAATGAGCGAGGAATTCTAAATAAGTTAGAGATCTTGCCATTATGTCATTCGAATTTGAATTTTTCTCCATCCAACTAGAAACATAGTTTCTCTAATAGTATTTTTATACATTAAACTTTGAACACTTGAACTTGCCTTGTATATGACAATTTGCTTGTTTGAAAGATGGTAGCTTAACCTCTCCATGAAAGGGTGCTTGTGGTAAATGTCGTAACTAAAAATTCTCCATGCTCCCTCACAGGATGAAATGTACCTACAATTCAAGTAGTATGATATTTCATCAAATATTGCTCTAGAGTTGCTGTCATTATTGTTATTATACATCCCTGCTACAATCATTCCCTTTGCTAACATATTTGAACAAATACTTAATTAAAGTTGGTTGATTAGTTTCTCAACATTAATATGAGCTTAAAACATCTTCAGCAACTTTGGATTGTATGGGACAATAAATTTGTTATCTAACACAACCCCTTTCTTGACAATTCTTCTCCCTTCATTCCTCCTTTATAAGTTAGGTAGCCTTTGTCATCAATAACAGTATGGTCAATAAATTTTTTAAGGAAGAATTTACTACATCTTCCTTCCTTCATGCACAAAGATCTTGAATTCACTTGTCCACAAGGTCCATGAGTCATGTAGTTGTTGACTAAATTGTACAAAACAGGGTCCTCATCTTTATTAGGTATTTTATCTGAGATGATATTGTCAATCTCCTCAACAGTGTTCATTTTGTCTTTGTTTTCAAGGAAAAGTATAATATGAGCATATGGTAAACCTCTCTTTTGGAACTCAATGGTGTAGATATCTAGCATTATTTTAAAAGTTATATTTCATATGTCTAATGATGCATAATGTAACATGGTAGGTAAATAAGAAAAAGCAAAGTATGAGCCAAAAAGGTTGAAAATGTACTTGCTTTTACCATGCCAATTTTTTTTCCTTTATAATTTTCATAAGCTTGTTCAATTTGAACTGGAAAATCCTGCACAATATATCTAGATGGTCATTTACTGATAGGTTAGTTTCCTTACAAAATCTCCTAACTTCAAGCTATGCCAGATTGCAAGTGAATGTGATGAATATGTCTAGGTACCCAGCCCATTTATAGATTGTCATTATGTAATGGTAATTGTTTGTCATGTATCGTGTTCCACTAGTGAATGATAAAGTAGAATAATCCTTTTTCTAGTTGCAAATGTTTCAGTTTCCCCTCTAAACAATGCATTGGATAGACCTTGGTACAAATCTACCCTTAGCTCACTTTGATGATTTCTAATGAAATCCAATCTTTGACTCTCCATCATTGTTTAACCATCAATGATGAAATTATTGTAGAAGTCTTCTTCCATAAAGAAGCAAGGATACCTTGTTATCCATATCCATCAACCTATAACAAAGGTACTCTCTTATGGAGAGTGTCTTCTTAGATGTGCTTGCTAGGCTTTCCTCTTCATGCATTCTGGATTGTAGCCATTCTTTCCAAAAGAAAAGAGTAAAGGATATAGTAGAGGGAGATATGACTGTGAATTTCATCTATTATTTTCAATTGGCCTCTCTTCTCAACAATTATACCTCTCTTTGAGTATGTTTCATCAAAATCCCTAACCACAAGAGTCGCTACTTCTGAAGTAATAGGCAAGTTGAAATTCCTGCTTTCTATATCATTATTTCGTATAAGGCATAATTTGGCTATTGCCTTTGGACTTTCTTGCAATATGTCTCTTGCCATTCTGTATTTTTTGACCAGTTCATTGTATGAATCTAAAACCTCCTTTATATAACGTACAATTTTAGCTTCTTATGCATCATCCCTTGAATTCTTACTGTAAGGGAAAATAAAAAATGTTACTTTAGAGTCTAAGGATGCAATTAATTCATGATAAGCAAATTAATTGAGAATTAAGGTAATTTTTAGATAATGAATTCACCTGACAGCATTAATCCTTTTTGAAATTTCATTATCCATATCATATATGTACAGTTGGGAATAGATTGGTGGTGATCCAGTTTGTGGCAAAAGACTTCCTAGGCGATGATAATGCTGAACGGAAAAACAAATGTATATAGACTACCCCTATTATTAAGGGAGTGATTAATCTTACCACCCATAGAAGTGAAAGAAAATATATTATTATAAGCTCTTATGTTTTCCTAGAAGTTTTTAGAGTATTGAAAATGCCTATTGAAGTATAGTTTATACAATTCTTGTGATGGGTCCTTAAAGTGAGGCACTTGTATCTTCCCATGACAGCAACACATTGAAAATATTAGAGTAACTTTACTTAATGCTCATTTAAGACGTTCAGATAACCACATTTTGGCTCCACAATGTTGACAACTATAAATAGGGTCTCCATTGTCTAAGTATTTTAAAAATAAATGGTTGGAAAGTGATAGATAAAATCATGTACTGTTAATATTGAATGCTAAAAGCTTTCAAAATATGAAATTTTATTATAGAAGACTGTAGAATACCTAAAATGTCTTCCATATTGCCTTCTATTTGATAATCCCATTCTAGGTCCACATTTTGGTCACAATCTTGTTTTTCACCATTGGATCCTATAAGATAGATTTTGATGTATAGGGAAATAATTATTAAGATTGGGTGAATGATATAGGAAACTCCAAGCGTATTATTCAATTATTTGTATGTTCTAGGTACCCATATGAATTGAATATCCGAAACTTTATTATAGATTTGTTGTTAAGTTATTGAACTTTTGTGTCATTAGAGATTTAGAAACTTTGGTAGTATGATGATTTGGATTGAGTTCTTCATGAATAGCTTGATTCATCTCAGCTGCATAAGAACTTTGTATGGCACATAGGGTGAGAGATGAAAGATTGATTTTTCCATGTTGACTTTTCTTTTTAATCCTAATGAAATATTTGCAAGAAGACTGCATCTCTTGCTTTTGCTTAAACTATTTAAAGAATCTGTGATGAACGATATAAGATACATGAGTATGTTTATCCAAATTAGTCAATGTTGAAAACTTTAACGAGTTTTTGAAAGTATATAAATACCATTTGAGATGTCTTGTAGAGGTGATCTATTGACATTGGTTCTTTCTTGATGATCATCTTCTTCAGGCATCTGGAATGTTAATGAAGAATGAACAAACTATGGACTAAAAATTAATTGCTTCTTTGTTCTACTGCATGACATCTCTTGAACTTCAGTTAAGGCCTTTGTGTTCTTTGCTGTAAAAGGTTTTAATCATGTTGATTACACTTGCCATATATAAAAAATTGAAAGTGTTTAAAATAACAATAATGACAATAAGTCATGATATATGTTAAAGATTATATTTTGAAATGTAGTATTAGTCTCATAACCTGTGTCTCTAAGGTTTTTAAGAAAATAAACATTTCTTTGTGGTCCATGTGTGTGTAATCTAGCTGCTTTCCTTTTATGCAGGATTGACTTCAAGTAAGGATGAGAAACTTCTCTTACACATGAATAATATGACATAAATAGATAATGATGCATTGAGGAGGTGGCTTAAAGATTTAATAATACCAGCAGAGTTTCAAAGTTTGTCTTGATTGATTTCATCATAAAAGGTATGATTTTGGTTTTCAGTGTGACTTCTCTTTTGTCTTGCTAATCTTTTATTCTGCAAGATACTAGTTATGCCAGAGCTGAAAAGTTCATCTATTATGTTCATATGAATTAAATGGTTAATAAGATTTAGTGATGATTAGAGAACAAAAGAAGTTAAATAAGTGAACAACATAGTTGCTACTAGCAACATTTTTAGATTCACCATGAGAAGAGGGTTGAGATGTTTTTGGAGTTATCTAAAATTTTCCAGAAGCATTTGCATTGAAAAAAGATAAGTTAGTTTGCCTCCAGATGCTGAGGGGTATTCATAATGCCTTAGAAATTATATTTCATGTTCTTTTTTAATAAAGATTGTTGTAGACATGGTGTTTAGATGCTAGAATTATACCAGACCTTTGGAAAACTCATGTCATAAACATGTGAGGATGTAGTGATGTAATTCTATGAGATTTTCAAATTTTGGCATAAAAAAATTTCAGATGTGACTTTTGTGGGATTTGAGATAAAATGTTTTGAATCTCAATTACTGAAGTTAATTATTGTAATGATAACAATGTGTTTAATCACCAGCAATCACCAATTTCCATTGCGGAATCATGGAGATTATTTTCAATTGGTTATTTAAATCAAGTCATTTAATTCCCACCTATTTGATTCGTAACTTCACTCACACGGCGTCAACCTTTGGTCAAAACTTTGTAATTAATTTTTTCAATGTTTTTTTTTCTATTGAAAACAATAATTAACAATATTAAATAATATTTTAAATATGGCATTATTATTTACAGTTTTTTGTATTTGACTTTTGCATGTTTCCAAAGTGTCTTTTTTTTTATGTTATGCATTTACTTGTAGATAATTACTAATAGAAAATGATGGAATTACAAATTAAGATTTTAGATGGTGTTCTCGAATATGATGTTTTAGCTTCATTCTCACACTCAGTGAACTAAATTGCATTGGCTAATGATATTCTACAAATGGTAGCATTGGGAAGCTATAATAGTAAGTTATAGATGTGAATAAGTTTAGTTTTGATTAACTCATTTTCATTGACCAATAGGCTTGATATAGTTAGTTTACTCATTCACGGAGTTATAACCGTGAATAAGTTTAATTTGATTTATTCATATTCATGGACTAATAAGCATGATATAATTAATTTACTCATCTATGAACTAATAAGCTTGATCTAATTCTATGAGATTTTTAAATTTTGGCGCAAAAAAATTTCAGATGTGACTTTTGTGGGATTTGAGATAAAATGTTTTGAATCTCAATTACTAAAGTTAATTATTGTAATGATAACAATGTGTTTAATCACCAGCAATCACCAATTTCCATTGCGGAATCATGGAGATTATTTTCAATTGGTTATTTAAATCAAGTCATTTAATTCCCACCTATTTGATTCATAACTTCACTCACACGGCGTCAACCTTTGGTCAAAACTTTGTAATTAATTTTTTCAATGTTTTTTTCTACTGAAAACAATAATTAACAATATTAAATAATATTTTAAATATGGCATTATTATTTACAGTTGTTGGTGTTTGACTTTTGCATGTTTCCAAAGTGTCTTTTTTTTTAATGTTATGCATTTACTTGTAGATAATTACTAACAGAAAATGATGGAATTACAAATTAAAATTTTAGATGGTGTTCTAAAATATGATGTTTTAGCTTCATTCTCACAATCAGTGAAATAAATTGCATTGGCTAATGATCCTACAAATAGTAGCATTGGGAAGCTATAATAGTAAGTTATAGATGTTAATAAGTTTAATTTTGATTAACTCATATTCATGGACTAATAGGCTTGATATAGTTAATTTACTCATTGATGGAGTTATAGCTGTAAGTAAGGTTAATTTTGATTTATTCATATTCATGGACTAATAAGCTTGATATAGTTAATTTACTCATTCATGGACTAATAAGCTTGATATAGTTATAGTAAATACTTCGCAAGTATGTAGCATGGTTTATGTTTAGGCAAATTCTATGATATATTCTATGATATAACAATATAAGTTGTCAACCATCAGTTACTAATTTATTCTATGATATAAGGATATGTGAGTTGTCAACCATCAGTTGATAACTTGTAACGTCTAATAAATATTTAAACATAGACATCAATAAAATAGGATCTGCTAGTCTTTTTTGACTGAATGATAATTGATGGAATCAATAGGATGGATCACATGATATTAATATAAAAATTTTGTAAGATGTTTTATGGACTAACATTTGTTTTAATTTATGATTAAATTAATTAGTCTGATGTAGTGAAGTTTCATTGGTAGTATGTCGAGATAGTGAAAGGTGATCTTTAACTTTTTTAAAATCATTATTATTATAATAATGTGATAGTTGCAAAATGGTTTTAGATGGTTTGTGAATCTAAATCCACAAATTTGTATTGTCATTTGATCTTATTTTTTGTCTTGAACATTTGTGTAACATAACTATTTCATTAGTTGAACTTTATGTTAAACAAAAATAAAGTTGAGGGTACCAATCAGCTTTTTCATTGGACAAAAGCTTAATATTAAATAACCATTACAATATCCAATGTGCATTTAAAAAGTTCATAAACATTGATAAATGGCAATTTTATATATTTTATCCTTTTAATTTAGACTTTTAAATATTTATTTAAGGCTAATTGAGTTTAATTAGATATTATTTGATTTTATTAGCCAATATTCAGTTTTGAAATTTTAACTATCTAAATTTATGATTTTAAAAGATAAATTATATCTTTAATATTTGTGCACAAGTACTATTTTATTTTATTTTATTTGTACATATCTTCTAAATTCAATTTAAAAGATATCAATAAAGATTATTTCGAATAAGAAGAATATAGGCATGCTTGGAGATCAAATCAAGAATTAAATCTTTAAAATTTAGTTTAAATTTATTTTGGATAATTTAGTGTAGTTTTTAATTAGGGTTATTAGTGTAATTTTATCATTTTATTATTAGCTTTCATATGCACTGGAATGCATCATCAATTTTATATATAAAGCAAGGAACACAGCACGCAAAGGCATCACTTGACGGTGAAAACAATCAGAGAGGAAATAAAGAATTAGAGGCGATGTTATAGTTTTGTTTTTAGTTCCATAAAGAGCTAAATTTTTGATGTAATCAATTACAAATCACGATCTTAAATCTTAATCAAAATCTTTGATATTTAAGGAAGAATTTATTTTAGCTTTATTCCAATTTACTTTTCTTCTCTCCACTTCTGAATTTTATGATTTAATTGCCATTGCTGATTAGAGTAGCTTTATTGCATAATTTTTGAGTTATAAATTTTATCTGAGGTTTTGCTTGCTATAGTCAATTGATATAATAATATAAGAGTAATTTGGCCTAGCTTGGGTGATTATCCATGCTTTATTTTTGGTGTGGCTAACTTGAAATAATTGTTAGGTTGTGGGTTGAGGGAAATTTCAATTAATCTATAATTTAATTTATTGTTTAATTTTTGAATGATAATTTGAGAAATATATAATGAAACCAGAATAATAAACTTAAATAAAATTAATGTATTTTGTGGACGAGGAAGATTAAATTTAGGTGATTGAGTTTTGATTAATTGCACTGCTTGTTCTTGATTATTTTCTTAGTTGAATTTCCTCTATTTATTTAATTCTAATTTAGTTTTAATTTCATCATTAACAAACCCCCCATTATTTACCTTTTTATAATCATAATTCAAATAGTTACTCTACTGACTCTTAAAGAGACGACCTAGGTTGCGCTTTACTATAAAATCTAGTTTTTATTAATTTTGATACTATTCAATAGTAGTGTCAAACATCCCATCAATTCAAGTCAAATTGCTATCTCACTAGGTGGGGAAAAAAAGAAGCTTAAACCAAATAAAAACTTAATATGACTAAAATATAAAATGAAATCAAAGCTGACAGATATAAATTTAATTTTCTTTCTTGATCCAACAGGGATTCTTTGTGCTGCTAAAATTTGGTGTCGACATTGCCTCAATTCCTTCATCCCTTTCAGCATTTTCATAACATTAACCCTCTTCTTGCCCTTACCATTAGAAAGTTTTGGGAATTGAGGTGTTGCAAGTTCCACTTCATCATCAACCATCATGTAATGTGGGTACTTCTTGGATCCTGAAGATTCAAAAGGTGTTCCCACTATACCATCTAATGCACTATTAGTTAGAAAGACTTTTGGAAGAATTAAGTCCAAAATGAATCATTATGTTTGAATTTTTTTATGACATATTTATTCATCATTAGCAATATTTCACGCTTGGTTCTTATCTTTATAACTTAGATGTGTGGAAATAGATAATGAAATGAAAGAATTTTTTTAATGTAAACACTTTTTTTATAATTAAATTAATAGAAATTTATGACTAAGTATAGTACCAGTCTATGGGTATAGGTGAATCTGTTCATGATGTCAATGTCTTCAGTATGTTGTGAGACACTAATTCCAGTAGATGGGTTCTGTATGTTGAACTCTGTAATGTTGAGTCGTACAAGCATTTCCTTCCTATTCAAGATGTTGAATATCCTTAGGAAGGAAGTAGGTCTCTTTTGTTTTGATGGTAAAGAGACTCATTTTTCAGAATTTTTTGTAATAAACCATATAAAAGTAGAGCATAATGTCATCTAACATGGTTTCTCATTGTCAGTAAATTTGATGCTGTTGTCTCGAGCAATTCTACAGTAATTTGGTTGAAGAAGACAATAAAACAATGGCCATAATTGTCACTTGCTGTGTAATGTACTCTAAACCTATGTAAAGAAAAGAAATAGGTATTTGCTTAATTAGTTAAATAGGACGTCTCTCCAAAAGTGATTAAAAAAATGATAGAGCATCAGTAACATGAAGTGATGACTATACTTTGGCTCCAGGGGTAGATCAATTTTTTTTTACATGTTTTGCAGTAAGGTTTTTCTAGATCATTTTGCTTGGGTTTGGCATCACACAGGCCACATCCTTCATAGTACCACATCTGGGAAGTCTCCACTTTCATAATCTTGCATTTTATCACAACTTTACACACCTTTTACATATATATGATGAAGACTAGATGTCATTTATTATATGCTTTACTTGGAGTATTTGAGTGTGTGTGTGTGTGTCAATGTGAAAACATAACTAAAACATGGCAACGTAACATTTGAAAGATTTAAAACTATTACACTGTCAAGGTCCCTTAATTTGCATATAGGAATTCTAATGGGTTTTTTAGACACAACTTGTGAGAATGTTTGAGACAAGTCTTCAGAGTTTCTTGCACTGTAAAACAATATGTGTTCATTAAATAATATCATAGTAGATGGATGTGAAGGAAAAAGATTTAGGAATGAGGAGAGGAGTACATGGCTAGCAACTTTTCAACTATATCAATCGATGGGTTAAAGTGCACATGGGTTGCTGTTCCATAATTGCTTAGTTGAAGCTTGTCTGGTTAAAAAGAAAATAGTAGATTCATAATAGTTAATATATATATATATATATATATAATGATGTAAGTAAATATAATGAATGGAAGATTTAAAATTTTACTCTTGTAGAAGTGAATGATACACAGTTGAACAACAACAATTATTGGTGGATTCATTTTTGATGTTTTTGCATTGAAAGCATTATGTGCACTCTCATCGAACAAGACAATATTGATTGACCTCTCCCTATATTTATGTAGAATAGCAAAATTAGGATGAATTGACAAAATGTTCATTGGCTAGGATGCTTAATAAGAAAAAGACAAGGGATAGAAAAAATGTTGTGAATTAAAATTTCTCACTCTTGATTAGCAATTGTGAATGACAACCTATTCTTGTTCTCAAGACCACTTTTATGATCCTGGATCGTGACAAGCCCTTAGAGGAAGCCTATGACATTTGTAAGATTCTCAAATAATAAGGTATGCTGAATTAGTTAACATGAAAGATCAATTGGAGATTAGATGCTCACTAGCTAAATGGTCAATGTTTGTTTTTCATTTTTTCATATATGCTTTCTTGATAATATCTTTTATAGGGAATAAGTTGAATCCATAAGGAGGAATTTTTGCATCATGAGTATGGACAAATGTGTTTGCATGAAAATTGATCTTTCAAGGATGCATGGTAGCCTTGTTGTCCTCATTATTAGTTAGAATTTCAAAATTTTCTATGAAGTACACTTTTCCTTCGGTAGGTTCAGCTTCAAATTGTTTAACTTAATTCTTGGTCTGGATAGATGATTGGATTTGTACTCCCTAAACATAATAGTGAAAATTATCATAATTGTTAATTTAATCGAAAAAGAGAGTGAAAACATTTTGTAATGTATGAATACCTTCTCATTCTTAAGCAAGAAACATATGTTTCAAGTGTTGTATGGTAGATTTTTCTGTTTTAGATACCACTTTCTCACCACTCTCACAACAATACACCATGTTTCTTGAGAATCATTGATGTCACTCAAGTAGTCATACTCATCAAAGGAAAGATCTTTAGCCATAGCAGTGTCACAAATGAATATTAGTGTTACATAAATGAAATAGCGGCACTCTCATTGATAGGAGAAGGGTCCCTTGCATTTTTGTACTTTGCTTTTTTTTTTTGTTATAATTAATCAGACTTGTAAAAAATAGGCTATGTATGAGGGATTTTGCTTTGGGAATGATGGAGCGAAATTTATGTCGGAATAATAAAGGAATCAAGTAGGACCACAAATGAGGGGATTTTATGATATACTATGGTTGAATGGGACTAATATTAATAGAAGGGTAACCTAAATGGATTAGCGGCACTGTCATTGATAGGAGAAGGGTCCCTTTAACTTTTTACACAATTGTTTTTGCTATAATTAATTAGAGTTGATAAACACAAGCTACACATGAGGGATTATTGCCTTGGGAATTTTTCCAAAACCTTTTTGTCATAATCACAATAGTTACATTCAAAAAAGAATAATAAACAAATCAAATAGGACCAAAAATGAGGAAATTTTATCATAGATTATGGTTGAATGGGAGAAAATTTACCAAGAATAAATGTTGACTATAAAGTTATTATTACGTTCAAGGAAAACGTATGAATATTAAATGAAATTTTTAAAATAAAATAGTGAGAAATGAGTACTGATGTCATTAATATTAATTTTTTGACTAGATGTCATTAATATTAATTTAATATCATTATTATCAATTAATAATTTTTAATAGTAATATTGTCATTAGGTTTTTCAGTTGTTAGTCACACTAATTTAAATTTCTTCAACTATAACTATTAGTTATAAATGGTCATATACAAAACATAAGTTACAGTTCGAAAATATTAATTACATGTTTAACTAATAAATGTTATTAAATTATTTATTAGCATTTATTTTTATAATTGTCAAACAAATGACGTTAAAAATATAGAATGAATAAATTATGAAGGATATATGCATTTATAATGAATTGATCAATTGAAATGTAACCAAAGTATATAAATCAATGAAAGTGAATGAATTTTACACCAATCAACTGCTTGCTACAACATTTGTATAATATATTTGATTGATTATTGATAGTTGATGATAAGGTATCAATGCATATTCCAAGAACAACAGGAGTTCATTTAAGTACATAAATATTAAGTTCCTAATAGTGAAAGGAGGGTGAAGAGTGGACACAGATCCATCTCACACATATGGATGAACTCTATGTTGGATGCTTACCTGAAGGTCCAAAGTTCAAATCTTATTTAAGCCAAAGATTAGTTTGATTTTGTTTTATATGAAGAAATTACTTAAGTGCCCTTGCCTATTGTTGTATAATAATAATAATATAATAATAATAATAAAATTTTGATGGGGTCTTTAGTTGTAATTTTTCCAACATGCTTTATATATCATTTTCTTTCTTCTTCATTCAGACAGAGAAAGCAGAGAGGAAGAGAGAGATCGTGTTATTCTTCATTTTCCTTCTTCTCTTCCCCGTCGCAACCCTTTTCTGTTCTTGCCGTGGATCTTCTTTACTCGCCTTTGGCTGGGTCTCGTCTCTTCCACATCGTTACGTCTCGCCACTGGGAGTGCTGCTGTCACCAAATTTTTCCTTGCAGCAGCCCCTATTTTGTTCTGAGCTTCTCTGGTTCATTGTCGCACATGTTGAAGTTTCTTCTATCCTTCTTCAGCGTCGATCATGTGCTAGTCGCCGCTGCGCTTTTGTAACAACCAATAATTTTTAAATAAAAAAATTAAAATTATGATAAGATAGTTGTATTTTTATTACTTTTGGAAAAAAAAATTATACTAAGAAGGTATAATCAAGGTTTTAAAAACCGGACCAGTTATTTAACCAAACTAGACACTGATTTACAGTTCATTGGTTCAACCATGGTCGAACCGTGATTGAACCGGCTGATATTAAATTAATATATTTTAATTTATATATAATAATTAAATAAGAAATACATTTAAATATGTCTTTTTAAAAAAATATATCATAAATGCTTTGTAATATAATTTACTATTAATGAATATATGATTAATATTAATTATAAATAAAGCTTTTTGTTTAAAAATTAAGAAAGATATTGATAGAATGATAAATATTAGATATTTTTTGAAAATATGTTTAAGCTAAATTAAAAATATCAAGTTTAAACAAAAAAATATATATAAATAATAAAAAGTATAAAAATTAAAAAAATTTGCCGATATTAAAAAATACATGTAAGTGTATAATATTTGTTGAGTCCCACATCGTCTACGTGAAAAAGGAGAAGAGGCGTGCATGACTATAAAAGGAAGTGGAGCGCACGCTGAGAGACAAGGGGCTGAGTTGCATTTTTGCAAAAATCACAGCTCAGACCCAAAGCTTTTAGTATTTTAGTTTGGAAATTCTGGTTTTTTTTAATTTTTTTAATGTGGTCTGGTTTTTTGAAGGAACTGATCCGGTTTTTATCTGGTTTTATCAGTTATTGATTTTTATCAGTTATTGATTGATTTTACTGGATATTGATTGATTTTACTGGTCGTTGATCGGTTCTATACTATAATAGGCGGTTTAAAAGAGTTGGCCGAATCAAACTAATGGCTAATTCTAATGGCTAGTTCTCAATTTGATTTTGGTCTGATTTTTATAACTTTGAGTGTAATAGCTTAGTAGAGCTGGCATTATTAATAGATTTATTAAGTTTTGGGTTTGAGCCTTCTAGGGTACTAGAAATAAATGCTCTATTTCTTTTGTTCCAGCCTTCTTTAATTTACCATTTTGCCCTTATGTATGAATAATATGTATAGAGAGGGAAGAAAAGAGAA